AGATTCAGATTCGTGAACCCGAAGACAAATACATTAATCTATCACTAAAGGTATCGGATTCATGAGTCTGTATCTCGGGGCTCGTGGTTCAGGTTGCTTCCTGCACTATGGGTAATATGAGTCAGCCCGAGCATGCTCTGTGGTTACGATAATTCTCTACTACTTTCCCCCGTGATAACATCTGTTGTTGTCTATATTGTGTGTCACTTTCTACTCAGATCAGTCATGGTCGAAAAACACGCGTAAGAGAAGGATAAGAAGAGGGCGAAAGAAGAGGAAAATAAAGGAGGAGGAGGGAGAAAGAGAGAAGAGGCTAGATTAGGAAGGAGAGGGAGAATTAAAAAAATATACAGTATATTTATAACCCCCAAACCAACAAGTATTAATACTAGACCCAAACACATTAGGCACGTTACCCCTTGAGAGGAGTAATTAGTCTAACTCTTATTACTTTCACTAACAATCTAATTAAGTTAAATCACATTATATCTTTCACCATAAATAGTCGTAACTACCAAAAAACTAATATTAAAAATTGAACTTTTATGTTATATCAATTATCAATTTTTATTATTATGCTAAACACAAATCAGTTTAGTGTTGTGACTTGTTTTACGTAACATAAGATACTGTTGCTTCTTGACACATATATAACGATACTTGTCTCTATATCGGACACTACCACCTACATCATTCATAAGTGAGGTAAGAGGCATGTCGTGGTGAGAGAAGACGTCACGCATTAAGAAAACTTACTACGCAACCTTGCAAGTCATTCACCTGGACAGTGTCGAGGGTCCACACCTGAATGACTCCTACGATTGTTTCCCCGTAACTAGATATACGTAACACAGGTACCTTATCTTAACCTCGCCTTACTGGCATACGATTTAGCCTCGTAAGCCAATGTTTCCATAATATTAACCCAGTAAATAGTGAAATACATTAACAATTTCCTTATAACACTTACTGAAGGAGAATGGTCTACTATGCTGCTGCCTATCATGGCCGTCACTGTCAGAAGTCGCGGTGTCCTCCCCCACCAGCCACAACACGGGAGCCATTCTTTACACACACCACCTTCAGACATGAGCACCTCCCCTGGGGTATACACACTAGTCACCCAAACCTCGGCCACGACTCCTCAGCGGCACAGACAGGGCTCAGGACGGAGGACTCAGACACCACACCGGCCAGCACAAACACCAGAACGAAAATACTCAAACTAGTTGAACTTGAGATTAGGTCAGAGACATTCTCAAAGTCGTGTGAAGCATCGAACCTTACTCAGAAAAGTATTTTTAACTATTGACATACTGAAACATTACAAAATAAAACAAAATACAAGATTTCACTGATTATGAATTATACAACGAAACCAGAAAGATACAGAATATCTTTATACATGTCAAGTAATGTAAGATTGTCTATATATTAACGAGACAAGGATTACCCCCTGCCCAGGACGCCTCCACCCTGCCTAGTACCCCTCCCTCCACCCTGCCCTACCTCATATCTAACATAATGCCTCTTACTTACAACATGATGCTTCTACCACAACAGAACATGTCCCCCAACCGATAACTCATCTTACTCATTCCTTCTCTAATTATATACATGTCACCTTTTCCCATCGTTTACACTCCGCGGTCACAGTAAAGGGTTGCGAAAATTGTTGCTTCTCAATTCTCGTCTTTTTGGTGTAATTATCTTGAGCAGAGTGAGGTTGTGTGTTGGCTCTGTTTTTCATAAGATATTACAAAGATAATTATTATATATACCTGTACTCCACTCACTCTCAGGCGATCTTGGTGCTTAATGGTGAAATTTTGGCGGAAGATTAAATTTGCTGTTGAATCGAGAAATACAAGTACGGTACTGTATATAAATCACCTTATGGGTGTGACAATAGTACTGTGAGGGAGATATATTGTTGTGACAGTGAGAGAGAAGTAACAACGTGTCAAGAGGATGTGTTGTAACCATTTAGAGAAAGGTAACAGGAGAACAACAGTTTGCGTGTTACCTGAGTGAGTTATTAAGGTTTTGTGTTAAGGTGGTACGGGCAGAAAACAAAGCCCATTTCTTGTCCTGACTCAACACTACTGAGCGGTAGGATGAAATAACAGTAACACGCGACGGACACGACAGTTTAACCCATAATCATCTTTTTATCCCATCTGTCATCTTCGTCATGGTCATCATTATCAAACTGATCTTCGTCATTTTCGTTGTATTCGACGTCTCGGAGGCAGTTCACCCACCCATGTAAATATTTGCCGATGGCATGAAATTATTCAGACATTGAGGTGTATACAAAGATTCAATGATATATTAACAGTAAAGAACCGTACCACATGCTCTAACATAATGAGAGCATCTCTGTTTGTAACTAGGTGTGAGTAAGAGTCTAGAATCTAGATGTTTGTTAATAATCAAACAGGTTTTCGGACCATTGTGAAACGATGAACCTTGATAATACTCGTAGATTAATTAGATTGTTATGAAGATTTAATTCTTACCCATATGGTTCATCCGTAATAAGAATTACAAAGGTGTATTGATACTTCAGCTGGAATACTGCAGTCCAGAACCAGCACTCACAAAAAAAAATTACAAGTGGCAACGAGGATATTGAATGTTTTAAGATTATTTCATTTGTTTAGGCTGTAAAGTGATTGACAGAGTCGTTTTCTGTAAAATTATTTTAGAAGAAAACGTAATTTTTTAATATTTTTAGATTGGTAACTATGATAGATCACTATGGCCTACTGTTCTTTCGTTTCTTCTTTCTTCCTTGTTCTACAGATGGGTCTAGTGCATGCAGAGCAAAAAAAAAAATCTCCTTTCCTTCCATTTATTTCATTTGACTTTTTATATAGGCTTTTTATGGTACAGTGGCATAAAACATATCACACGAAGAATTGAATTATACATCTAAAATATACATCAGCGACTTAAAATAAAAATAAAACATATATAGGGCATTGAGGAGTAATACATAGTAGAATTAACTCAACAACTCACACATATCTACAAATAACACAATATCCTAAGGGTGGATTGATTTGTGCTGTACCGGTATAACTATAAATAAGCTTGTTGTTGTGATCGCTTATAGTCCATATACAGGATAAATTTTGAGAGTAATTCAATGATTCTCTAAGATAAAGAAACGCATTTTCCTACTCCTAGACCTGTTGAGTGAGTACCAGGTTCCTCCGTCAGGTTTGGGCACACGGTCCACCCAGTCTGACCAGTAGTAGACACTGGTTATCACTCGTTCCAGTAATCTCTCTCATTGTAATTGTCTGTGCAGTATTTAATGTAGAGTTTACTTACCAGATGTTATTTTAGTGTTAAATTGTGTTAATTATAGCATTATATTATATTTGTATACATAACAATGAAAGGAACTTCTTATATGAGGTGTACTGAATAACTTTAATTGATATGAGAACTAGACCAACCAGTCTTGGCGGACGAACAACGGGCGAGTATTACTTTAACCAGGACACTGATGCTTCTCCTTGTCTCACTGATGTCTCGTCTTGTCTCACTGATGTCTCGTCTTGTCTCACTGATGTCTCATCTTGTCTCGCTGTTGTCTCGTCTTGTCTCGCTGTTGTCTCGTCTTGTCTCGCTGTTGTGCCTCATGTCTCGTTGTTGTCCATGATCATGAGACTATAATTTATTGTGTGACTATATAGTTATCTTATCTTCACCCATACAATACGTACCGAATATCAGCTTATAATAAACGAAATGTACTTATAGGAACGAGACAAACTCACAAATTAATACCAATTATAGAACAAACTATCAAACGTAATACTATTATAATAAACAGCTTTAAAATGGTTATATAATAATATTAACATAATAATGACGGAATGATATGATCTTAGCTTGACTACAAAACAAACCTAATGTAATATTGTTTAATATTTAACACGTCCTAATTATATTGTTTAATATTGAACACGTCCTGCGCCACAGCTTTGTATAGTAGTAAGACGCAGTAATTCTTTAATGCCGTGGTCGGTTTAAGGAATCTAAACAACAAAGATCTGAACAACGGATTTCAAGGATGTGAACAACAGATTCCTGCAGTAGATCTAAACAACTTCTTTCTGTCTTCTAAAAACTGACTTTAGTTTGCTATTATTAATCTTGGGCTTCCGCTCTGTTGCCCAATGGTGGAAAGGTCACTTGATCCCACACAAAAAAAATGGTCAGGATGGATTGGTGTAGTGACGTCATTCATTACAAAAAGTTAATTCATCCCTCATCTATAGTGAACAGTGGTAAAAGGACCGCCACTTTCTCTATACTGAAATTTGAGAAAGTGTACATCCGGTTCACGTGAATAAGTCATCAGAACAAACAAATATTTTATTCAAAGTGTTCGATGTGAATGAATAAATGTATTAAATTAAGGTGAAATTTCTTAGTAAATGAACGAATGAATTGCAGTGACACGACAGTTTCCTCGTGTGTAAGTAAATGACTAACAGGACAAAAACGGTCTACTCTCTGGCGACGCTTGACAAACACTGTAGGTTTCCACTAAGAACATGTCTTATACACTCGTGCATTATTAATTTTAGTAATTATGTCTCGTATTTTAATTAATGTTTCGTGGTCACATAAATAATAACTGGTTCAGATACGTTGCTGGTACCTTACACTCTAGTGGTCAGCCAGAGTAAAATGTTTGTTGGTAATATTTTTGCTTCTGCGCTCCAGTGTGTTTGGTAGACCATACTAATGTTTATTTTTTAGTGGTTGCACATGATAGCTACTGGGCGTGCACAAGGTGTCTACTGGGCGTGCACATAGTGGCTACTGGGCACATTTTATTTACCCTTATAATCTGGTTTGTCATTCTCACTAATTTCTTTCTCCACATTTCATTCTCACTTCCTAACGACTCTCTCTCTCCACACAGAACATCTACTTGTTTACATCTTAATTTGTTGTTTTATCTCTCGTTGCAGAGTCCAAGACCTTGATCCAACACTCAAGACGACTTCCAGACTCCCACAGTTACCAACAGAGAGGCTGCCTCACCCTCCCAGCACCTGGCACGCGTCTCACACTACCAACCCATTATGTCTTCACGGAATTGTTTCCCAAAGTTACTGGCATAATTTTGAGTCATCCTGATACTCAAAATATATTCAGTCTTAGTTCCTTGCGGTATAATAATAAAAGGACGTCCTATGCCTGCCAGTGATGTTGTTACTGCTGTTTGCGCTACTTCAACTAGAATTGCACATCGTAGAAGCACAATTTAGTCATTGACGATAATGACATGAACTGATGAAACTCATTAAAATAATACAAACGTAACACGAGCGTCAAAATGTCGCACGTGACGGTGGTGGAGGTGCACGAGTCTCACCTTAAGACCTATGACGAGGAGGCACACCTGAGACGTGGCCCCGAGGCTGTCGCTCAACACAGAGTGAGCCAGAGACAAGAGAGACTGGGAACACTTCACCAAGATCATCACATCAGATGTCCGATACCACAGACAAACCACAAACATGAAGCAGTATATGTTAACCTTACAGAATTACAGCAGCAAGGTAAGGGCAACACAGTGGAGGCAAGAGGTCACCCAACTCCTGTTGAAGAATGTGAAATTCCAGAGATTCATATGTCAAGAAGACTCGTCAGGAAGTCAAGCATCATTGACCAGAACGTTGGTGTATCTGGAGCGGTATTTATGGTATCTGATCCAACCTGCCAACAACAAGATTCCTCGGACGATGAATCAGACTCTTCACTCACGTCATCAGTCTCGTCATTATCAGAATCAGACTCTGGGTTGAGCAGCACCATTGAGGTGGGTGTAAGACCTGTGCCACACCACGCCACGACCATCACTATCATAGAGGAGCAGAAACTGAACAACCGAGTTCTGTTACACATTACTGCCGCAGCTGAAGAGAACGGAACCACTATTACACGAGGGACAACAACCCATGAGGATCCCAAAACATTTTCTCTGCTGAATAACACGCCAGGAGAAAATGATAACTCATCTAATAAAGCAGTGACCCTTAAGTGGAGAGTCATTCCTCCACCATCTCTCTTACCCAAACAAGCCACTCTAGAACTGGAGGGCGACAGAGGTTCTACACCAACATCCTTTTCCAGCGCCTACACAGTGACGGAGAACGAGAATGAAAGCACCGGCGAAGATTCAGATGCGTCTCGACATAATTGGTCGAGTCAAGAATCGGACGAAGAAGTACAAGGAATTCTAAGAGCTATTAATCATCACGACCCTGAAAGCACCACATCAGGTGCAAGCGAACCGGACTCATTATCCTGGGTAGGGGAGAGTGAGTGCTTGCCTGATGGTGAAGACAGTACCGCAACTCACGCCAGCTGCACCATCGACCACCAGATTCTTCAACCCATTAGAGAAAATGCGAGAAACATTATATCGTTGGAGACGGGAGGCGCCTCGCGGAGGTGTGAGCTCCGCGAGTTGCTGTGCCGGCTGCGTCACGCCTCAGATAGCAGCAGTAACGGGGAGGAGAGTATTGTCTATAGTTATATCCCTTGTCGCGATCAGAGGGAAAAGGAGGACGAAGAATTGTGGGTAGCCAACGAAGCTGCAGATCCAGGAGGTGTTCAAAGCTTCCTTGGTGTTGCGCCTCCTCTCTTGCCTCCCTCGTGGGGCTGGGGCAGCTCTCTCAGTCACGAGTCTGGCAAGCCGGAGCTTTGCCAGCTTACAATGCGAGGGCCAGTCTGGGCTGAGCAGCTGCGGGCGCCGCACGGCTGTGTGACCAGTCCCTCGTGTGTTTCGTCGCTAATGTGTACCCTGGCGCCCTCTCTCGCTGCCCCCTCCCCGGTGGGCACTAACACCTCTCCTCGTAAACACTACACCAACAGACAGAGAGTGGCTGAATCACAGATCATTAGAATTGTAGATGAAGAACCAAAGTACAAACAGCATTGGAACAAACTAAGCGAAGGTGACACACAAATCTACAATGAAAGCACAAACCTCCAAACGTCAACAACGACCAATATGCCCACCAAGAGATTCTCCTTCCTCATCCGGAGTAACAGCATGAAGCAGGAATCCGTCATAGACACGGACATGGTAACCCCGGCCCATCAGCCAGTGACTCCCAGTGACCAGGCCATCCTCGACAAGATTGCCACCCTCAACATGGAGGCTCCAGAGATAGTGATAAGGCCTCGGCCACGATGCTCACTCTTCGACCCTCCCTGTGTTCGGTGCGGCGAGCCTGTCTACCTCCAGGAGCGGACAGAACCCACCCTTAGACTCGTCTACCATAGTTCCTGCTTCAAATGCCACAAGTGTGGGGTTAGACTCGCTCTCAAGACCTTCTTCAGGAGTCCTATAGACTCTCAGGACACCCGAGTATTCTGTAGGAGTCACGTGCCAGCCCTGGACCCTGGTCGGCTAGACATTGTTAGAACTGACATGTTGTCGTCATTAGGCAAATGTTCACCTGACAGTGTCGGTGTTCACCCTGACGCCACCAGAGTAAGTTCTCCCATTTGTTAAACTTTCTATTCTCTTTAAGTCTTGTAGAAATTATAACACTTTCTATAGTACTTACTTGTATGCCTTATTTTGTGTAATACCCAGAGTTATCTTTTTTAGGGAAAATATAATTAACAGTTATGAAAAACCTGACAAGAGGAGTTTTAAGGTGATAGGTCGCGTGCTGAACCAAACACTTGCTGACTCATGGCGCTCATCCGACCGTTAAATCCATCAAAACAATGATATGAGTCAGACGTGCATTTCCCGGTCACCCCACTGACCTTCCGAGGCAACCTTCTAGCCTTAACATAACTAACATAAGTTACAAGTCGGTCACCACGCCAAGTCCTCCTCAAAATCTTCACTTTCTTCACCATTTCTCTACTTCCTTCCTTCTCTCCTCATTTGTCTAAAACTGAATAAACCTTAAGAGACAGATAAATATTTCACATTAATATGTCGGAGTGAGGAAATTAATTGTGGATTTAAAAGAAAATAATATAACAAAACACGACCCAAAACATTGAATTCCTGAGTGACTTTGTTATTCGTTTTGCTTGATCATGACTTGTAGAGCTGATGACGATCTTCCTTTACCTTAGACTTAATCCCTAACCTTTGTGTCTCTCTACGCTTGTTAAGTAATCCATATATATGTTTTACATAGCTTGCCTTTCTACATAAGATTGTCGAGACTGGTTGAAGTATTTGGCAACTGTCACCTCGTTCGCATGGTGTTCGCCACTCCTAGCTGCTAATTCTACCAAGCGATTCGGACACAGAGAACAGGAATAGCGTCCTCAAGGTCGTCACATCCTGCTGTGTGTTTCAGACTTCCTACACTACTTCAGAGGAAGAAATTTTGTTTATTTATGTAACATTTAATCATCTAAACGTACACGACTACAAGTACAAGATACATTAAGTTATCTACAAGTACGACATTCACTTAATTATCTACAAGTACTGTAAACAATAAAAAAAAAATTCCTACAAGTAATGTGTCGTCATATCCGTGTCCTCCCTACGGGCGAAGGCGTTAGCAAATTAAGGCCCAAACGAATTCACTTGAAACCAGGAAGGGACATTACTTCCCCTAAGACCTAGCTTGGACGTCTTAAATGATAGGCATGATCCGATCGCAGGGATTTATGGCATTAGAAGTCATATCGCAACACCTCATTATGGTATAAAGATTCGGAAGCATGTGTAGGATACTTAAACCCTCGGTTGCTGGAACCTTAAAACACATTGACAGGAATTTGTTGATCACGTAGGAATTATGTGATTAATAATAAACTCCAGACTATACTTGGGATTCTAAACGAACTAGTAGGTTAATAGTATGATGTAATTAAAGTGTCAGGACAACTCGTCAAGTTGTGATTCTTATTTACATATATGACGCATCACCATTTAGGGACGTGACGCAGTGAGAGAACGTTGTCGAGCAGGTACTTGTTCCACCCGAGGCTGTGCACTGGACCGTGATTAAGAAAGGAAAATGCACATACACACATACATACACACATACACACACACGCACTTAGTGACCCTCGTTAACATGCATGACTGTTCACATATAAACATTTTCCTGGTTGAGTGACGTCTATGTTCGTTGTCTCGAGAATAAAATCTTTCCTCTATTCAAAGATGTGATTTAAGTTACATATTTCAATTTATTCTTTTGAAATCTGTCATTTAAAAGTTATATAATGATTATGAGGACTATTTACGCTACCTACAATAGCTTTAATGTTTGTAAATCTTTCCCTAGATGTGTTTGTTGTAAAGTATAATACGTGGACACCTGAATTGACTCAAAGAACATGTTTGTTTTTTGTTTATGATATGAAGAGCTGCTGCACTGGTGTTGTCTAAGGTGAATTACATCAAATAAATTAGTTGTCGATTTGTTAATTTTAATCGGAATGTACATAAGGAAGTTATTGGAGATCTAAGAGAAACCATTATGTTTCAAAAAGTCTATAAATGTCTTCAAGATTACAAGTTTCACGAGCCAACACGGGTCCATAAACTTTCCGCAGTTCATCATTAACGTTTAAATAATATAACTACTATAATACAAATCATAAGGGATATATTCGTGTACTTATATAATATAACAAAGAGACTCATTTGACCCTAGAAGTCCATAACGTGAGGCCAGGATAGTGAGTCATTAGTTGTGTGACCTGGACTGGAGCAAGGATATGTAGCCTGTCAGGTCACGCAGCTCACCTCTCCACTGAAACCTTCAACCAGTCAACATGAACTCCGTATACTTCCCAGTTGGGTGTTGTAATGCTTCCGTGCTTCATCTTGCACAGGATGTAAAGAGTGCACAATGAACTAGTCCCCGAGTTGGTTGGAATAAATCTGAAATCTGATTCCTCAACCAGTAGATTTTTACACACACACACACACACACACACACACACACACACACACACACACACACACACACACACACACACACACCATCATAGTCCAGGTTATTATTACAGTGCTGGTCGACCATATGTTGGCTTTTCACTGTTACACTCTATCAAGCTGTGAAGTTATTTAAAAAGTTCCTCGAGAAGTTACTTAAAAAGGCTGTTTTTTTAACTTAATTACAAGATCGATTTAAAATTTACAAGTTTAATCAAATACAAAGCTGTAATGTTGCAGATTTTTTCCTCCAATAAAAAACTATTGATAATATTTATATTTTTCTTGTGAATCATGAATTTTTTAATTAGTTCAGAAATTTAAAAAAAATCTACACATTACTCTTTTTAGTATACATGAATGATCTTCCGGACATTAAAAAAATCTGAAATTGCCCAAACCCGTATTTTTCGTTTACACGAGAACAAAGACTAATATTCATCGTCTGATTTATTATATACAGTTAAATACAACGTCAAAAGGTAGCGAGTTATATTAGTAGTCATTTGATCACTATTTACTGACGCATTGAAGTTCCTGATTAACAAGCCATTTTTTTTCATCTCTTCCCCATCAACTTAATTTTGTATCTAACCTTCTGTAGTGTCCACTAAGCCTCTTGTAGTCATACCCTAAGCAGTAGACTGATACATTATTCTGTCCATAAATGCTTCGGATTCACGAGTCTGAATCGCTCAGGGGTTCGTGTTTCAGGAGAGGTGAACGGACTGTACTGTACCTCGGTTACACCTATGTTAAATCGCTTCTCATCCAACATAAAGATCCTCTACCGCGCCCGTGTGTGTGTGTGTGTGTCCCTCCCTCAGCTGACGGAGGCACCTCACCACCTGCCACCAAGTCCTCCGCTATTCCCGTCCTCAACCACGACTATCACGAGGCGTGACGACCAGTGCCGTTATCAGCAACTTACAACAAGACAGCTGACTGAACTCTCTGCTTGTTCTTACTTACTTTTGTTTCTACCAACTTGAATTTTGAAGAACATTTACCTATTTATTGCTTATAATTAATAGCTTTATGAAGTCTGTACTTGTTATAATAATATCCCTAAGATCCTTGTATTTACACCATGTACTCACAATTGCCTGCACTCAGATCAATGAGATAGGCTATTTGAGTACAGTTAACCTAAATTAAATGTAATAAAAACCATCCGTACTCTCCCAAACCTGCACTGAGTCTTCCCTGGTCAACACCGTTAGTTATCACCGCTCGTGAGCCCTCAACGCTGCCTGCACCTTGCCTGTTACTTCCCTCCTGCAATACTTCACTTCCATCATTATTGACACACATTGTTACACTTTGCACGTATTTTACACATAAGGAAGCCATAAGTCATGAATCTGAGAGACATACGTTCATGCAGACAGGGAGGGAAGGAGGAAGGGAGAGAGAGGGGTAGGTAGGGAGAGATGGAAGGAGATAGACAGACGGGGGGGGGAAGGGAGAAAAAGCGGTAACGAAAGAGGGACGGAGGGAGGGAGAGAGGGGTAGGTAGGGAGGGAGAGTGAGAGAGGTAGAGAGACATGACCTACATAAGCTGAGGATGAGTGTAGCTTGACTGTGTTATGAGACCATCTGGTGCCTTTCTCCCCAGCGGGTTGTGGAGCCGGTGTGGCGAGCTGAACCTGTCACTGAAGACGACAAGTATATACAGTTGAATTCCCGGTATTATAGTGAAGACGAGACGTGTGATAGTGTATAGTGAAGGTAAGGGTGTATAGTGATGGTAAGGGGTGTATAGTGATGGTAAGGGGTGTTATAGTGATGGTAAGAGGTGTATAGTGAAGGTAGGGGGTGGTATAGTAAAGGTAAGGGGTGCATAGTGAAGGTAAGGGGTGTATAGTGATGGTAAGGGGTGGTATGGTGATGGTAAGGGGTGTTATAGTGATGGTAAGGGGTGGTATGGTGATGATAAGGGGTGTATAGTGATGGTAAGGGGTGGTATGGTGATGGTAAGGGGTGTATGATGTATGGTGATGGTATGGTGATGGTATGGTATGGTGATGATAAGGGTGTATAGTGATGGTAAGGGGTGGTATGGTGATGGTAAGGTGTATAGTGATGGTAGGGGTGGTATGGGTGATAAGGGGTGTATAGTGATGGTAAGGTGGTATGGTGATGGTAAGGGTGTATAGTGATGGTAAGGGGTGGTATGGTGATGGTAAGGGGTGTTATAGTGATGGTAAGGGGTGGTATGGTGATGGTAAGGGGTGGTATGGTGATGGTAAGGGGTGTATAGTGATGGTAAGGGGTGGTATGGTGATGGTAAGGGGTGTATAGTGATGGTAAGGGGTGTTCTGTACAGTGAAACACATACACACACACCGTACGTGCACGCAGAAGCACCACATTATAAGGTTTGTGATACTTGCCTTATAGCCCGCCACCCAACCAACTAGTCAGCTAGACTGTCAGACACCAGGCTATCAGCCAGTTTGTCAGCCAGTGAGACAGTTAGCCAGTATATCAGCGACATAGTCATCAACTAGAAAGTCCGTCAGGCAGTTTGTCACCACCTATAGCCATCAGCCATAAGTGTCTTAGTATGTCTGTTGTGTTGACCTTGTATGTGTTAGTCACGATGATTGCGAAACTATGTGAGCAGAAGGTGTTAATGTGCACTGAGAGAGGGTGGGGAGAGGGTGATGGGGAGTATATTTAACTCCCCATCCTTCAGCACCTCGGCAGGAAGGAGCAGCCGAGGTGGTGATGGTGTATGAGTCAATCAGCAACTTCCAGCACCCGGGGCAGGACCAGGCTGCTTGAATCTAGGCTTTGAGGTCAAGGCAGCAACGCTTCCTGTGCTCTGCCACTCTCAGTACATTCATTGTCCGGAACCCTTATATACGCCGGTATTAAATATATATCATATAACCATATACCGTACCTTACAAATGTTATTGACATAATATTCAAACTTAACCTTGATATCATATAAGGACGCCCCAGTCATTCGTTCATCCGTCTGAGCAGGATTCGTTCCATCCTTCTAACATTATATACACTGTACCTTGAGCCTGAATATATAGATATCACTGCACATTTTTTTTTTTACAGAACAATTTAAAAAACAATAAAGACTCCACACCACTGTCTCTGCAAGATGAACTCGATATTGTTAAATGTGACACAATTGGCCTCCGTTACTTCTGATGTCTACCTCCGCCTGTACCTGCTTTGCCTAGTGTACAGTATTCCAGATTTATTGGTCAGTTCACTCCCAAAATATTTGTAAACGTCCCATAATTGAAGGAATATTTTCTTAGTGTCAAAAAATTAATTACTGGACTAAGCATTTCTTACCATCTATACTAATACTTGAAGTATTTACCATCTGCACTATATCTGTGAATGATGAATTTTATGTAAATTATCCAAAAGAAGTACCGACAGGTAAGACTTAAATAATAGATGTCATATCTTCCTTTATTAACACTGGTTTATTTTTCAGACATGACGCTGGGAGACACATCAGTGTATGAAGCAGATGAACAATTAAAGTGTTGGAGAGTTTGTCTGTCGGTCTCGTGATTCATATATAAATTTAGATATATATGAATATAGTTAACTTCAGAGATTTGGCCTCCATTAGTATACACTATATGCATGTATTACTAATATATTAATTGTATAAGTATCTTACTTTGTTTATGGAAGGACAATAATCTGACTCAATTATATAGTTTAGCATTATGTATGAGATTTTTATTACGAAATTATAAGTATTTATTCTAATCAAATTAGCATCAATTGGAATTTCTTGCCAATATATATATATATATATATATATATATATATATATATATATATATATATATATATATATATATATATATATATATATATATATATATATATATATATATATACTATTCGACGTAGAGTTTGTCATAAGCTATGTGTAAACAATTATTTTTAATTAACAATTGAGAAAATAATGCATTTAAAAATCTAATCATACCGTAGAATGGATAAAACTGTTACACTTTAGTCATGGTAAACTAGCACTATTTGTCGATTTACCAAAGGTTGTGATTTGACTTCCTGTAATGATTGTCTGAAAAACTGATGAACTTGTTATACAGTATCAACTTCAAATTAAACAACTAACCTTCCTCTCTGTATTGAAAGTTCACATAAGTTGTTCTCCGTACGTCTTCGTATTCTGTTCACAGCCTATCTTCACTACGTTCAGTTAAAGACAAAATAGAACCTAACTTTCTCCGTTGGATGTGAAACATCCATTTAACGAGCTATATAGAGATGAAATTCCATTATAACAAGGGTCCGTTTGATGTGAAACCATCTAATGAAGTCTATAAAGATGAAAGTCCATTATATCGAGGGTTTGTGAGATATGAAACCCCATCACACGATTATATGGAGAGAACTTCAGACAATTCTGTTATATGTAGGCTTAACATCAGCTTTGAGATCAAACATTCTATGTTCCTGTTATAAGAAATATCAGAAGTTTTTAGAAATAAACTATATAAAGGATATTAACCATGTTGCAAGATTATGAATGCTAATAAATGTTGATTAGATGAAAAGTGGTTTGATTTAATAATTTAACATTTTACATTATTCAAGATTTTCTGTGAAAGAAAATCATAAAGGCATCTTTTCTTTATTTTAGGTGTTGCTTATTTTGAACAATATTTATGATCTTGAGCACAATGGCAGTCCTTAGCGAGCTGCCAAGTGTTATATGAAACTCTTCTCATCCTTTATTATAAATAGGAAAAATTCACCACTCTTACTGCGCAAAACCACCACCTACTGTACACTTACCTGCCTGAGAGGCAAGCACCTGTGTTCATCAGACTATCAAATAAACTTTTACTAATACTCCTGTGGAAATAAACACCTAACAGCTTTGTCGGGATCCTTGCTCAAGTAGCCTTACTGTTTGCCATTGTTGTATACCTGCACTGTCTCGGCACACAGGATCTGTAATGTATACTCCCATAGCCTATACCTGCACCTTATGCCTACATTGTCTATATTCATGCTGAACTGTATAACCATGGGTGTCCGCTGGATTTTTTCCAGGGGGTACAAGATAGTATGACAAGACCTGATATTTCAGTTTATTCAAAAAGTGTGATCAAGTATAATCGAGTTACTTTCGCGTAATATATGATCAGCAATATCATTTATCATTGTTATCACCAAATTAATAAGCACTAAAATTATTACAGGGATGACCTTAAACATTAAAATCTAACGATAATTATTTTATATTAGTAATCATAATAATCTAGGGATGGTGACTGCCAATGCTAGCTGTCACGATGGCGATTTTCTCAGAACAGCAACGTAATTTCGATGATTAAGAAATACTACAGGCTGCGCTTATCAGCTCCAAAACGATCAATCACGTCTTCGATGATGGCTTTCTTTCTAACACCTTCTGGCGATACACACCGAGCATGTACAATCCAGACCGAATCTCGAAAATGTTCTCTTTACAATCACTAGTTTTCACAATTCTGAGCCACTTTTCTCCTAGGTCGCTTCCCTCACAAATGCCCTATATCAATATTTAATTAAAGTGATACTCTTTTGGTCTCTTTAATACTACGATAACACCTATAAATTCATTCAAAGTCATTTAATTCCGGCCTTTAATCTCATTCAAAATCATTTAATCCCAGTTTTGATCTCACAAAAAAAATTTAAGTCCCTCATTTAAATTCCTTCACTGAACTGTTTATTTATATCCGTTTTCTTTTTTATAATCAAAGAAAATGAATTTTTTATGGGATAAATTCTTTAATTTTTTATTATGCTTGTAGGATAGAGCAATTGTTTTACTTTGATGTGCTTTATTTTACCCTCTTCGCCACTGATCGGCCTGTATGAAATCTTTACTAAATTATTATTGTTATAATTATTATTGGTAATAGTGGACCAGATGGCTAACACCAGAAGGAACTGTGCAATTGCGTTACTTTTTTTCCCCCACAGGTGTTCTTTGGATGATAGTAAATAACATAAACTATACAGCAACTCTCTATTCTATTTATTTATTTAAGAAGAATTTAAAAGTAAAAGTCACCTGGGTGGGATAGTCATGAAGGATAAGGGAAATAGCTGGGTAAAACACGGCAAAAAAAAAAATTGGTCATACGACACTGAAATTATGCCCGTGCTTTGTACGCGACGAAATTAATTGTCTTAAAATATTCAGTCGAATAGCCTGCCGTGTCTGCACGTTTAGCCAGCCGCTCTTTTCTTTGTGTTTCCGTGCAACACCCCGAAGCTGCTCCGACATGTTCATAAAAAAAAATAAAATACACCATGTCGCCTTAAGAAAATTGCTTTCAGTCGTACCAGATATCAAATTACTGGAAGGTCTTTCTGATTAATATGCCGCGGCTAGGAATTTACATAAGGTTTGATATTAGCCAAAAGTATTAAGAAATTACTGCCTAGAATAACACTTGATATATTCTTAAAACATCGTATTTGTTTAAACTGCAAGGTGGATATCACAAGCCTGACAGCCCAGTGAAATTTGGGGTACGACCTAACGAGGTAAAGAGAACTGCTCCAACAACCGGCCGGCAACTATTTACTTATATCAGCTCTTATAACGTCGTAATTAATTATACTAAGTACTATTATTTAATTATATCCAATTAATAACTATTTCACTTGGTCACTGCATAAACAAGTCCGGAGAAAAAATTACACGTACAGTATATAAAGGAGACGGAAGGTGCCGGGTGTGGAGTCTTACCTGCCTATCAGCTCCAGTCAGTCAATGGTGAATGTTGAGCGAAGAATGACATAACGAATAGTGTTAGTCGTGGCATTATGTACCAAGGTTCAGAGTGACGTCACTGAATCGTCTTTGAAGCTTCATTGAAACATTTGAAGCTTCGAAACGCGAATATTATAAGTGTACCCGGGTCGTTTATATCCATATTTTAAAGGAATATCTTACGTGAATGAGCACTTAAGGCACCTATAGTGAAGAATTACGGTATATCAACGCCTCTCATGGTCTAGTAGCGTTTCTACGTGGTATTTGGGGTCATATAAGAGACGTATAACCGACTAAATCAGTATATACATTAAAATAGATCAAATTTATACTTCAGTTTCACTTCAAATTAACTTTAAGGGATTAATATAGCGAAATATAAAAGCAAACACCAAAGAGCCGGTTATCGAACTTGGACCACTTAGAAGAACAGGCAACTTATCCACTACATCACGATGGTTATAGAAAAATCAGACCTTAATGAAAGTGTTATAGTTCATGGTTCCTGCCTACTCGGTGTTAGCCGAAGGATTGACTGCAGCTAGCACACAACCCAGAAAAATAGAAATACAGAGTGGACAGTAATAACAATATTGACATGACTAAGCCAATTGAGAGTAACCGAGGTTGCAGATAGGTTTTCAATCGAGTTCCCTCAAGGTATTGGATAATTGGACCCATATTCTGGAATGGGATGGTAATATCGACAATGTACACCTAGATTTTGCCAAGGTACACTGTTGAGAGCCTGAAAATCAAACTGGAAGGATACGGAATTCGGGAAATGTCCTAGCATGGATAGAAGACTTTCTACATGACCGTAAGCAGTGTGTGTGGTGATTAAAAGCATGAAATCATCTGTACCTGTCACAAGCGGGGTACCACAGGGAAGTGTATTGGGCCCGCTGTTGTTTCTTTGTTTCATAAATGACATGCCTGACCTTGTACACTCCTCCGTACAAATGTTTGCTGATGACGCCAAATTATTTCAGGAAATCAAGAACCAAGCAGACTGTGAAGAGCTGCAGAAGGAGCTCTGTGAGCTCCAAGAATGGTCGAAGAAATGGCTGCTGAAATTCAATGTCACGAAGTGTAAGAGGATGCACCTGGGGCACACCAACAGCAAGGAGGCATATCATATGTCCCAACGGGATGAAGAAACTGCACTATTTGAGACGGAATGTGAGAAGGACTTAGGTGTGTATGCTGACAATGAGCTAAAGTTCTCGGGCCATTGCGAGAAGAAGGTAAATCAGGCAAATAAATTATTGGGTCTTATAAAAAGGTAGTTCAGATAACTCGACGGTACGTCCCTCGTAATGATCTTCAAGAGTGAAGTGCTTCCCCATCTGGAGTACTGTCACCCCGTCTGGTCCCCGAGATATGCTAGGGACTGTCAGTTGTTTGAAAATGTTCAAAGGAGGGCCACCAGACTGGTGCCTGCACTTCGGCACCTCAACTACCCTGAGAGATTGGAGCGCCTGAACTTGCCGAGCTTATACTACAGACGGGCAAGGGGCGACCTTATTGAGGTGTATAAGCATCTCAAGGGGCACTACTCAGTCGAGTGTCCTTACTTGGAGCTGGCGGACGCTCGCCCCACAAGTGGTCACAGCTCAAGATTGAAGAAGCCGCAAGTTCAGACAACTGTGAGGGCAAACTTTTTCGGAGTGAGAGTTGTGAACTCTTGGAACAATCTACCAGAGTGTGTTGTGACGGCACCGAGTGTGAACTGTGAACTCTTGGAGCAATCTACCGGAAAGTATTGTGACGGTACCAAGTGTGAGCTCTTTCAAGATCAGACTTGACCAACAGTGGAGCAGGTTCAGGTACATTCAGGAGCCGGTACATGCCCAGTACTTGCCAACAGTGCGTAAGAGAGACGTGACCGATCACCCAAGCAGCTAACGAGCCGATCAGTGGTGAAGAGGATAAAGGATAAGAATGTTGTTAAGGTATTATTTCTTTAATCCCTTTGTGGTGCAGTGGATGGGGCTCTTTCCTACCATTCTTGGTGGTCCAGGTACAATACCCAGTACTCTTAGTTGATTATTTTATAATAATTTTGGCCACTTATCAGCCATTCAGCGGTCGGTGTATCCAGTGTTAATACAGGAGGAAACCTGCCATGTTTGATAGTGAGGGTCACACACAATTTTTATTATAAAGGATTGATAAAAACAGCCCAAGAACATTTAGACTGTGGTCGCCAACCATTAGATATGAGGACAGTATTGTGATTGATTGATTATAAAGGAAACAGCAACATTGGGATAATAAAACAGAAGACGTAATTGATTGATATAATGATTATTTAATGGGTTTTATTATCTATATCCTGAGTTTTATTTATTAATACCTCTTAGTACATACTGCAGGTATATAGGTTTGGGTAAAACTCTAGGCCACTGTCTCTTACCAGCCATTTTACTAAACTTTTTCTGTGACAGGAACATATTTACTCAACAAAAATATGGAAAATTACAGTATTAAAGAAAGTTGGAATATGTCCAACTGGTTTTGCTTATTCTTGTGGTAAGACACAAGTTTTTTCTATAGAAAAGTATTGTAAAGATACTGGTTATTGGGGGACATTGTTCTAGAGTACCTAGTAGAGTACGGTACTAATTAAACACAAAAGACAATGTCTCTGTTTACATTGAAGGTAGCCTGAATGTCTTCCCTTTATATGCTTTTTAAATATCTAGAGCTACAGTTATCTTCATATCCGTGTTTGAATCTTCCGATGATAACACCTCGGAGGAAGTCCTCATCCTTCCTGGGGATATGACATACACTACTGCCAAATATTAATATAAAAACAAAACAGGTTCTTATGACAGGAACAATAAAGCCTCTTTTTCTTTTTACTGGAGGTGTAGTAAGTGTAGTTATTATGTTTATACATTTACTAAGTAATACAGTATTCACAACTTATCAAAAGAAGACGTAGAATATGTTGAGATTTTTCCAGGTATGTTTTCTTAAATAAATATGTGTAGGTACAAGCTTAATGTTATTTTTTTTACTTGTTTATGTTAATTTGAGCTCATGTGTACATCTTTGTGTGTGTGTGAATGCATGTATAATAGTAAAGTATTTGTGTATAACTGTATGTAAATATGAATACCTAATTTTATTTCACCTTTCCTGCATGGCTTACCTTTTTTGTCATTTATTCACTATTTGCTGTACAAAATGTGACATGAATTAGTCACAAGCTTCCCTTTAGTCCACCTACCATGTTGTATAATGTAGCATCATTCATCAGCAGCAAGCCCTTCCTCATAAAACTCTTGAGTCAATACCATGTTCTCCTTATGTACATGCACACTACTACTAATACTTCCAGGATTTCAATACCCCTTCTATCCAGTACAGTACCTCCATCACCCCCCCTCCATCCATCTGAAATAAACACTTCTTTTACCAATTTTTCATTCTCATATTCATTTGGTATGTTCAGTTTACCTGGTCTCTATCTCTCCACCAGATTATGTCTTCATATGCTTCTAGAACTCTCATCCGCCAGACCCTGAGGACACACTCCAATCTACTCGCACAGTGAGAGAATGAAGTGCAGTATCTTTTCGGGTTTTGACAAATACATCACAGAAGGGTTGAACCATTTGATACACACATGTAGTCTCTGTAACGCTTGCAGTATAATCCATCAGGTTTGATTATATTTTGACCAAAGCTGGGAAGATACTCTATTCTCTCACTGTACCTTGTCTAAAAAAAAACATCATCATTACACACAATGAACTACAGTATTTACATGATACAACACACCAAACTGGTCATTATTTAAACCTGTATTGGATTGATAAAGTCTTTTGTTTAAACTGAAGAACACAGAAATTAGTTGGGCCTTTGCCCAGAAAATTCAGAAATAGGAAAAATATCAAAACTCAAGGTAAATGTGTGTCAGTTTATTAATTTGATTTGATTGTGCTGAACTGTACTGTACTCTTTCTTTAAAAAATATACCTTCAGGGATAACAAATACTAGACTGTGTTTTAGCAGTTGTTCAGGTCAAAGTCGTCTCTCTGGAAAGAAAAAGAAAATAAGACATACAGTACTTTAGGTGTGATGCACTTAACCCCTTCACTACAGGGACGCCACTTTTAATATTTTATTAAACTAACTCCAGACGACTTTATTCAGCTCAGAGGCTATCCTGTACACAATGGGTTAGTACACTACCTCCACTAACCCCTTCACTACAGGGATGCCTCCTTTAATATTTTATAAGTATTTGACTCGTGCCAAACGATTTTTTACGCTCACAGACGACCCCACACAAGGGATTTAGACAAATATCAGTTTCATTCCAGCAAGAACATGAAAGTATTTGTTGTATAATAAGAACACAATGGTCGTTGACTCATCTATTGTTTTATTTTATTTACTCATGGTTTTCCTCTTTTTTGTGTGTTACTGGTTGAATGAGTGAACTTTTATTAATGTTTGGTGTTTTAAAGCATTTGCATTTTGACCATTTTATATAAAATTTTAGTGTAAACTCTGTAGTATTTATAATTTGTGGTCGATAAAATATCTATCTATCTATATACACCACCTAATATACAGCTGATAACTTATTTCTCCACACAAGGGTAAAGGTGATGCACTTGAATACTAGAACTACAGAGACCTGATGCTGTTAGATAAGGTTATGAAAGTTAAGGAAAGAGTGATTAACAAATTGATAAGGGAGAGAGATTAGACGTTAATGAAATACAGTTTGGATTCATGCCAGATAAGGGGACAACAGAGGTACAGGTTGGACCCCACTAATACAGGACCCGATAGTCTGGCAGCTTCGATGGTTCGGGACGATGTCATAGCTCACTTCTAGAGGCTGTTGCCACTATTTCACCTTTAAATACTTATAATTTACCCCTAAATATGCCTCCAGAGAGACCAACAGGCAGTGGAAGTGGTTGTAATGTGGTGAAACGTAAGCCTGTGACATTAACTATTTTAGAAAAGATGTCTATACTGAACTGAGGAAATTAGACAGTAATAGTACTTTTTATGCATTATTTTGCCTTTTTTAACCTCGACTTCGATGGTTCGGAATTTTCGCTAATCCGGAACCGGTCTGGTCCCAAGCTTCCCGGATTAATGAGGTCCAACCTGTAATTATTTATGGCCAGGGGACTACAGAGGTAAATTACTTATGGCCAAAGGACTACAGAGGTACAGCGATATCTCCGTTAGCCGGAACAATTGGTGTGGAGCGCTTCCGGGAATGAGAGATTTCCAGGTAACGAGACGACTCTCTTAAAGCCGGAAAAACACTCCCCCATCCCCGGAATTTTCTGGGTACCAGGAAAATTTTCTCTGAATTTTCTGGAAAATGTGCCCTTCAGATAATCGTTCCCAAAGCCGTAATTTTCAAGAAAATTCTGGCTATGAGAACGATTTTTCCGATAAAATTTCAATTCCGGCTATCAGAGAGTTCCGGGTTCGAGAGATTCCGGCTTACGGAGATATTACTAATTCTTTATGGCCTGGGGACTTCAAGTGAAATACCCAAGAAAGGATAAATAGTTGTCAGTTGTATTTGTACTTAGAGAAGACATTCAAGAAGAGTCTCAAATGAAGTACTAAAGTAAGCAATGACAAAGCTAGGGGTGGAGAAATGTCTTGTTTGAGAGGTCATGGTATTATCTGAGGACTAAGAAGTCACTGTTATAGTAAATGGGACTTTAGGACTAGTTTGGCCTGAGAGTTTTTATATGATAATGATTTAGTGCTGATAGCAGATATAGTGAAACCTCTATTTAACGGACCATATGGAGAAGAAAGTTCGTTATAGTATCAAGGAACCGATAGATATGAAACCTCTATCTAATGAACTATATAGAGGTGAAAGTCTGTTATACCGAGGGTCTGTCAAGTGAGACCCCCCAGCTTACGGGTTGTATGGAGAGAGATAAGTCTGTTAATGGAGGTCTCACTGTAGTAATGGAGAGGTAACGGAGAAATGTAAGACGATACAGAGTTCAAGTGCTTGTGAGTGAATATGGACAAAACAAAAGTACAGTATCCTACTTCTATATGTATTTGTATTCCATTTATAAATTTGTCTTACTGTATTTATTAAACTATACTCCTTTCTCAAATATCCCATGACTTTAAAATGATAAAGTTGTACACAAATTCATCAGGCATTACTTTACTCTTTCTTACCAAACAAACAGTCACACTCATAAAAACTATTTCATTAAATCGTACCTTCTCCCAAACCCTTCTTGTTTATGCATTTTTTCTTTAAGATGCAAAATAAGCCAAGTTTAAGCTATTGTCATGCGCTTATCCCTCTTACCACCTTCAGAGTGAAAGAAAGAAAGTATGGTACTATGTTAGACAAATGGTTTACTCACCTCTTCATTGTACTGTTTGACATGTTTCCTGATGGCTGAGGTGTTAACCCAAGTCACATAGTCCTCCAGGGGCCTGAAACACAAGACAATATAAGAGTGTGTCCTGTGAGATGCAATTACCAGGTAGTTCTCATGTGTTTAGTACCACCATACACCATCTGGGTATACAAGAAACTGTATACAGGTTGTACCTCTCTAGTCCGGCAACCTCGGGACCTGACCGGTGCCGGACCATGGAAATTGCCGGACCATGGAAATTCACCCTTTTCCTGGATAGATAGTGACTCGTGCTTATGCCTGGAAGCACTAGCACCACTTTCTCTGCGTCATGGTCTCTTTGAAGACATATTGAAGGGTTAAATGTCGTATAGTAGTTTCCCAAAATTCGCGAGTTTTTAATTCTTAACGTATTTTATTGGAACACACATAAAAATAAATAAATAAAAATTTTGAAGGCGGAAACTTGAATTTCGACGGGTTTGAACGGCCCGCCAACGTGCAGACGACGTGCATAATCGTGTAAACAGCGTCATTTCTCTTATGTACAAAAGATTCATTATTGTTTATTACTGAATGTCTTTTTTATTGAATTAATGTTTATGTGTGCAAAATGAGCAATACAATTCATTAATAATACGTAGAATATTAAAACACACGAGGAAATGACACAGCATTGTTTTCGTTGATTACAAAACCAGTGACTGACTGGTTCTACGTATAAAACTGAAGAAAATAAGAGCTTTGTTGTAGCTGTAGTAAAATTAATATGGTTGTTTTAAGTAATGTTATTTAATGTTAATAAATGGAACAATAGAAGTAGCTAACGATAATGGTAAAGAAAAAGAGAGATCGCATATGTAAGTGCGCATGCACACATGTGAAAACATATCATCATTACTTTACATAAGAATATGAAAGCAACACTTATTTACTGTTCATATATATTTTAATTAATGTTTCTGAATTTGGTTTTTTTGAATTAATGTACGTGTGTGCAAAATTAACAATACAATTTATTAATAATACGTGGAATATTAGAGGAGACGAGACGGCTGCCGGCATTGTTTATGTTAAAGCTTACGAAACCAGTGATTGATTGGTTCTGCATATAAAACTGAAGAAAATAAGACCCTGAGTTTAGCTGTAGTAAAATTAATGTAAAAAATGAATATGGTTGCTTGAAGTACCTGTAATGTTATTTAATGTTAATAAATGGAACAATATAAGTAGCTAACCATCAATGGTAAAAAAAAAAGTGAGACTGCTCGTATGTAAGTGCGCACATGTGAAAATATATCGTCATTACTCTACATAAGAATATGAAAGCAACACTTACTTACTGCTCATATATATTGAAGGGTTAAATGTTGTACTCTGTATAGACAAGCAGAGAGAGAGAGAGAGAGAGCAGCCGAACTGCTGGATGTAAACAAACCTTAATTTCCCGCGGCTTTTTTTTTTTAAGGGGATTAGCCCACCCGGGAATAGGTCACTGACCCACATTAGGGCCTGAGGGGCAAAAATTTAATACTCCTGTAATAATAATAATAATTCAGATAAAAAAAAAAAAAAAAACGCCTATCTACCTATTGGACAAACTAAAATCGTTCCGGACCACGGGAGTTTCCGGACCACGGAATGCCGGACTAGAGAGGTACAACCTGTAGTATAATCCCATGGCTTATGTGTACTGTATACTGTACCTACATTGTCTATATTCATGCTGAACTGTATAAGTGCGTATCCAATTGTAAACCTGTATGACAACTTTGCTGAATAAATATTATTATTATTATAATTATTGTTATTATTATTATTACTATTATTTTCATTAATACATTATGCAGCAACACAGTTTCTTTAAGGTACAAAGTCTAGACGTCTGTAGGTGCAATCTAATGGCTAGCAGAGTGCGACATGAATGCTAGGTACCAATGTTTGTCACCTAAATACACATCTTGACATTATTATTAAATGTGTGAATTCAGTGAGAGCTTAAAATATATCTTCAGCTATCTTAGTTTTTCTTTTCAATATATACAAGAAACAGCCCACAAAAGATCAATGACAGTCCAGTAAACTATATGTAAAGTAAAAACTAATCAAAAGAAATTCATTTAAATAAAATTCCATGAAAATAAAAATAAAAAAGTATACTGTCAAGTCATGAACACACACAAGTACAGTAGATACTCACCTTGTAACAAGAAAAGCCGGGTCCTTCACTACTTCTGCCCCAACACGAATATGACCTTGCTCGATGAACGTGACAGCTGAGCGTAAATCTGGAGTCATTTTGTTACGCACCATAAGACACGGCAGACGTCGGCGACAGAAGGATGCGGCCGTCACGCCATCACATAATTGGAGATTCCACTTGGTAGGAATGAGTCCCATTGTATATCTGAAATGTTTGATGTATCTGAGGACATTGACGGATAAGATCGATCTATGACAACTAGAGCCAAGATGGGTCCTGTGTAGCCCGAAAGATTGAATAAACTTAGCTCTTCCTTGTGTTTCCCTCCCACCTATTAAAAGTATTCAGGGATAAAACAATAATATACTACTTATATCATTAAATTGTCCTTAAAAATAATGGTTCTTTCCCAATTAGAAATAAATCCTAAAATAATAATTATGGTAGACAACAGGGAATTTAAACAAGTGAAAAATGTTGTGTATTTGGGAAGTAATATTGAATTGAAACAGTTTATTTACCCAGAAAAACACAGATACAGAGTAGATAATAATGACAATATTAACATGGCTGAGCCAGTTGAGAACCTGAGCTCTCTTTTAGACAAATGTATGGAACAAATCAAAACAAGAATAGGGCAAGCAAAAACAGCCTTAAATAATCTTAAAGACCTAATGAAAAGGAACATTAATTTCAATTTCGGAAAAAGGCTGCTGAAAGGCTTTATCTGGCAAGGACTGATGCATGGGTCAGAAGCGTGGACACTTTCACCAGACACCAGAAAAAGGTTTGAGGCCTTTGAAATGTGGTGTTATAGGCAAATGCTAAGAATAAGCAACAGTGACAGGAAAACAAATGAAATAGTACTAAGATTAGCAAAAACTTGAAGAGAAATATCTAACAAGGAGCAAACATAAAGTACTGGTTTTAAATAAGACAAATTTAGATTTCGGTGTGAGATAGGAAAAAATTGGTTAGGCATTAGAGTTGTAGATGAGTGGAACATAATACTGTACCAAACATCATCATTAATTCAAACATGCTGGGAAGCTTCAAATATATATTGCACAGATATATGAGCGATAAGGATTGGGTGTAAACAGGGCTGCATAATATGGGTCAATAGTCCTGCCGCAGTTTCCTCCATTCTTTTTTTGGTTAAAAGAATATCTTCCAGTACCTGCAACACACATATAAATGACACTTACAGTTTTTCGAGGAGTTTACCGCTAGCTTCTGCTCTAAAGGGGTCTTTGGGGTCCATAGCTTTTATTTTATTGGCCAGCTCTTTTGTCTCTCGGGCCATCTTGTTGTATCTGTAATTTACACCATTCATGTTACACTTAGCTACTAATAGATATCAATATAATGAATTAATTATTAGAAATACTATCTTAGCACTGCAACAGCCAAGGTTACATGGTGCCAAAGATAATTAATGCTACAAGGTTAAACTAAAAACAAAATGACAAAAACAAAACAAAACTTGGATGGAAAAATTATCCAAAAGGAGACGAAATGAATAAATAAATCTATAAAAGAGAGAGGCAGCCAGCCTCATCCAAAAACATTAGTCCAACCCTCAGACAGCAAGATTCCTCCCCCAGCACTGCAGAGAGAAAATAAGAACCATTTTCAATTCAGCCTTAACAGCTACCTGATGAAATTTCTCCATAGAATATAAAGGCTTTTTTACCTCCACAAACAAACAAAAAATTAAAAAGAAAGAAAAAAGTTCAAGGAATGAATTTTACTTCACTTTACTTTTACGATTTTTAACACATGACATTTGAGGGTTTTACACCCTCGTGAGGTAATAAAGCTTTTATTACCTATGGTAATTTTGGGATCAAAAGCTAAGCTAACCTAACCTTATTCTGAGGGGTAATCCTCCCACAGTTCAAGCTTATCAGTAATGTTTTTATTGAACACTCTGAACATTTTCAGCACGACACACAGGGTCACTCTCATCAAATACTACAGTAAATTCAGTTAAAGTATTTTGCCTCACTGGACATACATATTAGGAAGTGGATATTTATCTGTGCCCCGTTTAGCGAGAATCAACGTCAGCAACCTGTAAGAATCTCAGAATCGAACGACGAACAAGGACCAGGCCAATAAGGAAAGAAATAGGTAATTCCATCGTATGGTGAGAGTCAGTTAGGTTAGGTTTGGTTTTTGTTTTTCTAGTGGTTTTTGGTATAATTTTCATTCGCTCAGGCAATATGTTTTTTTTTTCGGAAAACGTCCCACGAAAAAAAAATCGATAAAAAAACCGGCCAACCCAGCTTTAAATCCCTAAGATCCCTAAAGAGGGGGTCCGACTAATTACCCAAATGTACCCAAATGTAGCCGGAATGAAGTCAAATAATGGTCCTAGATGAATAAATCGGACTGCCAATCACTTCTCGACTAGTATTTGGTGTCACAGTCACAAAAAATTGGTAAACTTAATTTAATCTGAGTTAATAGATCGAGTGCATGTACCTAACCTAACCTAACCTAACCTCGACTAGTATTTGGTGTCACGAAGTCACAAAAAATTGGTAAACTTAATTTAATCTGAGTTAATAGATCAAGTGCATGTACCTAACCTAATCTAATCTAACCTAACCTAAGCTAACCTAACACAACACAACTCAGATTAAATTAAGTTTACCAATTTTTTTTTACTTTATGACACCAAATAATAATCGAGAAGTGATTGGCAGCCCGATTTATTCATGTAGGACCATTATTTGACTTCATTCCGGCTATATTTGGGTAATTAGTCGGACCGCTATAAAGGTCCCATTACGTACTCTTAAGGTGCAGCCTTCCTGTTATACAAAAAGCACAAAAACAGCAAACCTTCACCTTTCAATTATAGTCTAATAAAATCCAGAATTACCTTCAAAATCTCCCTTTAATCTCTAAAAAGTATAAAAAGGTCCCGTAATGTACTCACAAGGTGTAGTCTTCTCGTCTCTGTATCAGAAATTTCTTCATAATTTTAACTTCCTTTAGATTATTATCAACTTCCCACTTAAAGAAGTCTGTGTGCTTAAGGAGCTTCTTCTCTGCATATTTTAACTGCCTCATATCTGTTCACTTGAGGACGAGAAGGACCTTGAGGACGAGAAGGAACTTAAGGAAGAGAAGGACCTTGAGGACGAGTCTCCCTGCCACAGTTTTGTTTACTATATGACGTCACAGCCAGTGTTGCCAAATAGGTGAAAATTAGCTAACTTGACCTATAGGATCCGCTAGAAATCCGCTAAGCACAATATTATGCACTTATCCTCAACAATATGCAGATGTTAAGTAAATATATAAATGTTAAGTACTCACCACTTAGGTCAGCGAAAAAATTATGCCGTCCTCTTCTTCTTTAGTATCTATAGACATGGGTATTAGAAGAAGGGCTTGGACCAGTTTTTGGTGCTTTTGATGTCGATGAACTCTATGCTACTTTTGTACCTATTTGCTTTAGCACTTGTTTTGGCAGTTCATACTAATGGAAACATTATCCAACTCTTCTGAGTCCACTTTTCACTGCAACAATCGCACAGACTGAACTTGTATTCAACCGATTACTGAGCTTTGATTTAACGTGTAGCTGGCTAAATAGAGTCTCGACTTCAGCATTAGAGTGAGGGAGGGAGAGTACACTGAGGAGCTAATTCACAGAGGTCACGAAAATGATTTATTCCAGCAGCATCTTGGTAATCTTGTACCTCAACCCAAACTGTTACTGTTGACGTGGTCTCGTGCCATTTAACAATGTTAAGTTGCACCACTGATTGTCAATTCGGTCAATTTGTTCTGGATGGTACCCAAAAATTTCAGCTATCTCTACAGTACTATTGGTTACTTCACAACTCTGGGACATTCCACTACTGAAAACAGATATATTTTCCTCAAGATTTTGAGGTTATCAGGAAGTCTGTTTTTCAAATCCTTACAGAGACTGGTAACACAAGATATGCAGCGATGGCGGAGATCACGCTGTAGGGGTATCGAGATATTAATGTTGTCTAGCACTCAGGATGGAAGGAAACTCTAATGTGGTTTTCTTGTATAATATAAGTTATATGATAGACAGTCTGGTGCTGGAGGTGCCGTGTGGTGAGGGGCTGCTTGGTAGAGACGTTCGGTGAGTAGCTTGTTGAAGGAGGTAGATGTGCAGGAGCTGCGTTAGAGAAGATGTTGCCTGTTGGTGGCCTCCTGGTTGAAATAAATGTTAACAGCTTGGAGCTTGCTGGAGGAGGTGTTGCTTGTTCAGGAAGATGGGCAAAATGAGAGTTGGTTGGTGAGGAAGCTCAGAGAAGGACAGCTGGTGGGTCGCCATGCTCGCTGGCGGGAGCGAGGGCCGCCAGGCAGGCGAGGAGGAGCGAAGGCAGCCAGGCAGCGACAGAGGAGGAGGTGTTGCTTGTTCAGGAAAATGGGCAGAATGAGAGTTGGTTGGTGAGGAAGCTCAGAGGACAGCTGGTGGGTCGCCATGCTCGCTGGCGGGAGCGAGGACCGCCAGGCAGGCGAGGAGATGCGAAGGGCAGCCAGGCAGTGGCGGAGGAGGAGGTGTTGCTTGTTCAAGAAGAATGTTCAGAATGAATCTCAATGGAGAGACAGAGCTTATATACCCAGCAGCCGCTATGAGTCATGTTGGGAAAACCCGAGAAGTCGCCGGCCTTTTGGCTCGGTTGCTAGGATACGGCGGGCATTGGAATGCGGATACGCTTGGTTGCTAGGGAAGACGGTAGCAGGTGGTGTGCAGCTACGCAGTTTGTAGGGGAGACGTCCACTACAACGCTCTGCTTTTTTTGATAACTTTGAGTGGGTCCAAGTCTTTTCAAATTCGTATCCTCAATAGGCCCTGGGGTCAATGTGAGAGGTTCAATTGGTGATTACTCTGTATTCTATTTACTTTGAATTTCCCTTTTTTGTCATTTCAGAGGGAGGGCAGAATAGGTTTTAATTACTAATAATCATCAAGAATACGAAATTAGCTAGAACTTCCGTCAAATCTAGTGAAAATGCGCTATCCGCAATTGGGCTAAGCAATCCACATTTTGATTTGCTAGATTTAGCGAATCTTTTGCTACGTTGGCAACATTGGCTACTGCCATATGACGTTCGGGATGCGTCTGGTGTTTTATTCGTTCTGCATCAGATAGATAGATAAGATACCTATAGATTGTTAGGGAGATAGATAGATTGGCAGGTTGATAGATACATAGATATTTTCGTATACAAAGATACATAAGTAATAGATGCATAGGTAGGTAGATACATATTTAAGTAGATACACAGGTAGATACATGTATATGTAGATAGATATATAGATAGATAGACAGAGCCCTAATAATGTCTAACTATTCTATGCAGGTACCAGCCAGTCATAGATGTAAAGGATGCCGAGCAGTTGTGAGACGATGGGGAAGCGACGACCTTACACTTGCGGTCTCCTTGATAGAGGTGACTTTGACGCAGACAAAAACAAAAGAAAAAATACACAAGGCCACATTCTGTAAACTCTATAGTGATATTACCACAGGACTATTTTATAGCTGTCATGGGGCAATGTTAGTTAACGTAGGCCGACGGGGACGATCTCTCATCTAACTGGGGTTATTTTCCATTGTTTTTTTATCAAATTCGTTCATGTTGTCTGTGTGGCACTTATTCGGACCCATCGGCACTCTTACACACCCGTAGTTACGATCTGCAAGTTGGTCATCAGTCTTACGAAAGAAATGTTATTGTATTTTCGATGTTATTATTAAATTTCTGCCGTTTTGAGATCGATGTCGACGCCACCTCCCCCTCCTCCCTCTACAACTCAGGACTCGTGTATGTGTTTGTCTTTTGTCCCTCGATGTTTACAGTCTCTCCCCCTCCCCTTCTCTCTCTCAGCAAGGTTGTCTGTCTGCTTCTGTCTCATGCCGCTTATAGTTTAATATTTATGTACTTTATGTCTCGTCTGTGTCCAGCGCGTTCATGGGGCTCTCTCTCTCTCTCTCTTCTTGTAGACGTTATTTCCTTGGTATTAGCCAGAGTGATCTCAATGAAGGACTCTCTCGTCTCTGATAAAATAAAAAACTTAATAACAGAATATCTCTTTTTGGAATTGGCAATTTCTCACCAATTCAAGGAAGGGGAGGTGGGGTGTTGAGGGAGGTGTAAAGGGAGGTGAGGAGGAGTAGAAGGGGATGTGGGGGTGTAGAGGTGTTGAGGTGTAGAGGGAGGTCTGGGGTGTAGAGGGAGGTGAGGAGGAGTAGAGGGAGGTGAGGAGGGAGGTGTAGAGAGAGAGAGAGAGAGAGCTATCTCTTTCTACTAGCTTCAGGCCTGTATTAATATCTAGCATACTTGGTGCAGTCTGAGGATGGATACATTTAATTAACAATATTAATTCCAGGTTACTAAACATAACGTGGTATGTGGTAATTTGGGTGATGTAGGCTGGCAGGGGCGAGATGCTGCCACCCTTACTTATAATTCTTGTATACATACACATTTAAGATCTTGCAGTATACATACATTTACGTCGCTCCGAGTTCACACGAGCGTCTCTATGTCTCAACCCTTGTCATTATATAACCACGTCTTCACATCCCGAACTCATCCTTTGTCCTTGCGTAATTCACATCTTTAACCTAACCTAACTTAACCTAGTCTAACCTAACCTAACCTAACCTAACCTAACCATTTTACTTTCGCTCTCGTCCAACTTTCCTGTCCTCATCCTATTCCTATTCATCCCTTATCCTCACCCATATCGTATTCTCACCCATACCTCCACACCCACGACCTACCCATGACCACCCACGTTCATTAACTAGAGTAGAAGGATGTCAGCCCGCGGGTGTTGTTACAGTGGACCAATATCTAGTGGTGGTGCTCAAACACTATAGCAACCCCCTCCCCCTCCCCTCTCACCCCTCCCCACTCACCTCTCGACCCCTCCCCACTCTTCTCTTGACCCTCCCCACTCACCTATCGACTCCTCCCTACTCTTCTCTTGACCCTCCCCACCCTCCCCACTCTTCTCTTGACCCCTCCCCACTCACCTATCGACCTCCATAATCACCTATCGACTCCTCCCTACTCTTCTCTTGACCCTCCCCTCACCTCTCGACCCCCTCCCCTCTCACCCCTCGACCCCCTCACCCTCCTTACATAAGACATATACATTTCTTCCCTTTCCTTCTAGTTACTCCTTCTCATCATCTCACCCTACTCTCCCTACTCACCCTACTCACCCTACTCACCCTACTCACCCTACTCTCTTTCTCTCTGTTCCTCCCACCTCACCCAACTCCATCTCCTTAGCCTCGTCCTCTTCGTCACCCTTATACCACTCACCCTTCCCTCCCGCGCCCCCTTATTCTTCTTCATAGTTGTGGGGGACGGTGGGAGAGAGGAAGGGGGAAGGGAAAGAGTCGATAAAGACTAGGAGAGGAGTGGAGAATGGGAGAGAGGAAGAAAGGAGTGGGGTGAAGAGGGGAGAAGATCAAGTAGAAGGTTACACAGGAAGTCCTCGATACATTAGGGATGGGTGTAGAGTCTTGGGGCTTAAATCAGTGGTGTAGATGGTGGGTGTGGGGGTGTGGGGGTGTGGGGGTGTGGTGGGTGTGGGGGTGTGGGGGTGTGGTGGGTGTGGTGGGTGTGGATACAAGCCTGATAGGATTTTTGGGCTCGGAAACACCTTTTATCTCAGAATTGAAATTTAATGTGTCTGACTACTTACAGCCAGAATAATACATAAACATCAATAAGTGTCCTTGGAAAACAATAGGTGGTGACTGGCGAGAAATTAGCGTTACAAAAATGAATTAAAATTGTTGAGATGTCACTTGCACAAGTGATTATACAGATCAAAAACTGTTCTTTAATAACTCACGTCCTGTATCTTAGCAGGATGGTCGTCATACTCGATTATGAGTGGTAGCAATGTAGTAGTAGTAGTAGTGTGTGTGTGTGTGAATTAGTGAGTGTAACAGCCAGCATGACTGTTAAAGCACAGAGAGGAACAAGCACTTGCGTTAAATACAGGTGACCTTGACACACAAAAACCTGATCCTTATTTGTTGCTGACTCACGAAGGTTGTAATCTGGTCAACAACGACTCGAGGTTGATAGCGCCGTCCTGCCGTCCAGCCGTCCTGCCGTCCAGCCGTTCTGCCGTCCAGCCGTCCTGCCGTCCAGCCGTCCTGCCGTCCAGCCGTCCTGCCGTCCAGCCGTTCTGCCGTCCAGCCGTCCTGTCGTCCAGCCGTCCTGCCGTCCTGCCGTCCAGCCGTCCTGCCGTCCAGTTGTCCAGTCGTCCTGCCGCCCTGTCGTCCAGCCGTCCTGCCGTCCTGCCGTCCTGCCGTCCTGCCGTCCAGCCGTCCTACCGTCCAGTCGTCCTGCCGTCCAGCCGTCCTGCCGTCCAGCCGTCCTGTCGTCCAGCCGTCCTGCCGTCCTGCCGTCCAGCCGTCCTGCCGTCCAGCCAGTCGTCCTGCCGTCCGTCCAGCCGTCCTGCCGTCCAGCCGTCCTGCCGTCCTGCCGTCCAGCCGTCCCCGTCCAGCCGTCCTGCCGTCCTGCCGTCCAGCCGTCCTGCCGTCCAGTTGTCCAGTCGTCCTGCCGCCCTGTCGTCCAGCCGTCCTGCCGTCCTGCCGTCCTGCCGTCCTGCCGTCCAGCCGTCCTACCGTCCAGTCGTCCTGCCGTCCAGCCGTCCTGCCGTCCAGCCGTCCTGCCGTCCAGCCGTCCTACCGTCCAGTCGTCCTGCCGTCCAGCCGTCCTGCCGTCCAGCCGTCCTGCCGTCCAGCCCTTTATCAGTCCTGACTCCGTCACTACCTCGACCCGGCCATAACTCCACCCGTTGATTGTCATGTTTCTGTGATTGTGAAAACATTTTTTCGTGGAAAAATAAAACTTGGTTAACATGGTTTAAACATATTTTTCACATCATCATCGATTTTTATTTATTTTTTATCGTGGTTGACCTTAAATGACCTCTAAAATCACACTGGTGACCTTATTTGAGGTCAGATTCCTTATTAACCTTCGGATTTGTGTTCCTTGGGTCAAAAATTTCACACTGAATAATTTCTTTCCACAGCCAGTGTGACGAACTATTGTGCTGCCAACTACGTGTGTTCTGTAAGTTGCCTGACACACAGTTTATAAAGAAACATCAACACTCTCCAGAATGTAATATTACGACCTTCATCACAGCTGCCATCGTCGGTAGTAGCATGTATTGCGTCGTGAGGAGAAGGAGGAGAGGGTAGGCAGGTCTATCTGTCACAGTCAATACGAAGTGACTCTCAAAACCCGCAGAAAGAGGGAGAGGGAAGTGAAGTAGTCTGGGAGGCTCTGGAAGCTTGAAAAGGTGATGTTACTCTCCTGAGTTAACACATGTGAGGCAAAGTATAAAGGAACGGAGACTAAGTTGTTCCTAGGAGATACTGAGAGAGAAAGAGAGAGAAAGAGAGAGAGAGATACTTGCTTACTACTACTACTACTACTACTACTACTACTACTAATAATAATAATAATAATAATAATAATAATAATAATAATAATAATAATAAACAGAAAGACACTCAATAAGACCAGATCGAAAACAATAACAGAAGCAAAATAATAATAATAATATTTCTTAGTTAACTTCCCCGACTATAAGTGACGTTACGCATAATTATTCTATACTGTTGGTAAATAAATTTGCCCGGGGAAAAAGTTCCTTAAAACGGTGACCTAATTATTGAACTTTATTTAATTACGTCGCATCACTAGCCACTCCTTTACAGTTATTCGGTAATTACTGTAATTTACCATGAAGTAGACTGTCCTTAATCGCTGTAATTACGGTGGAAACGGTGGAATCGATAGTAATTATGTTAATTAAGTCATTAAGGGGTTTACTGTAGAGAGGAGTCAGTTATATAAGCGAAAAGAATATTATAATTGTAACGGAAGAAAATGTAATAAATGAAGGTTAAGAACAAGAGAGGAATGATAACTGGCAATAATTATAACTGGAGTGAATAGTAACCTAACCTAACGAATTCATTTCCATCTACTTATCGAAATGAAAACAAAAAGTTATCCCAATTCAGTAAAAATTCCAATTTCGTTTTTGTAAAGTTTAAATGCGTGTAAATGTGTGTCTGGTAACTGGTAGAGGCGAGGGAGGTAGCAGCTCACAGTCGACCATAATGTTTGTGTTCTCTGTGATCTGTTTTGCCCAGTACCTCCTCAGTGTCTCAGAGCTCACGTAGGAGAATTACTTAACGTCAATACTACACTATCTCCCTTTATCTCAGTACCCTGCCACTCAAATATTACGCTGTCCCATTATTCCAATACCTGCCAGTACCCTGTCACTCAAACACCAATTGAAATGAGAAAATGGAAAATAAGTAAATAATATAATGTGCTGTTAACTTCACTGGTTCATCACGGTACAGTTACACCCCCCCACCCCCCACCCCCCCCCCCCCCGCTCTCTTCGTGACAAATACAGTCTTTTGTTTGACATAAGTCGATAAGTTTTCTGCTACAGTCTGTCCAACCATTTCCACACCAGAAGTTCCCAGAGTTCTTGGCTGAGACATTATTGAGGTCAAGCCAATTAAGGTCAGGAAGAATGGGGTCAAAACCTAGTGCTTTAAGACACTGATTTTAGATGAAGACGTCGCCTCCACACACACACACACACGTGTATAGGAGCCATGTATGAGTGTATATTTGTCTTAAGGGAGACAGACAGACAGAGAGAGACAGAGAGAGAAAGACAGAGACGATAATCAAGAAACCAACGAGTGCAGTGTTCCCAGACACTCGTGAACACTCAGACTCGTTTAGAGAGCCTCGTCTTCCTCCCGAAAAAAAAAAGATTTAGGACAGGTTAGTTTTTGTCCTGCCTCTATTTTTCGTCTAGAGGAGTCACCCCTGGTTCAAGATCGACTTTACCAACGACAAAGAGCGGTGTGTTGAAGTCAAAGCTCCCGTCATCACTGTTGTTGATTTATTCTCAAACTAACGACACGGTGCAAACTGTACAGGACGGGGAAAAAGGAGGATATACAGCCTGTCTCATAAGTCTTGCACCGCAGGAATCATAACAGGTCAAAGAAAATGAAAGAAATATTAACATAAAAGCGAAAAGATTCAGTTTACTTGTGGTGTACAAAGCCAGATGCTATACACCATTTAGTTCGCCCAAAATATAAGCAACAAAACCTAGAATATCCAAGTGGTGTGAAAATACCTGTGCGTCTTCCTTCATTGGGAAAATATAGACATTTATAACTAACATAAGATATGCCACCTAACCAGTCACTCGTTCACCCCCCGCCCCACACAAACCTAACCTCCCACTCGACCACCACGCCCACACGCCCACTCTCCCCACATACTGTTGTGTTGGTGTAATGGCGTAAAAACAAAAGAAGTTCTTGACGCACACTGGATGAGAAGAAATCCAACACAGGGGGCGGGGTTAATGTTCCATGCTCTCTCTCTCTCTCTCTCTCCCCTGTCCACCATTCCTTCTGTGTTTTCCCTCTCCCTTTCTCTCCAGCTCCTGTTTTCCTTCACCTTTCCCTCACTATACGTAAACACACCCTAGAATGCCAGGTAACTCGTAAACCCCCCCCTCCTCCCCTCCCAGTGATGACGTCAAAGGGTTAGTGTGGCGCGTGGGGGGGCAAACATCACAGAGCTTAGGGCTGCCCACACCCAGGCGACGTTCACGAGGGAAGAATGCGTCTGGTAATGACAGTTTAATCCAGACACACAGATAGATAACTTAATGTAAATATGGCGTATTGTTATTATTATTATTATTATTATTATTATTATTATTATTATTATTATTGTTGTTGTTGTTGTTGTTGTGTTACATTTTGACTTAGGCTCGTTACCTCTGTCAGGCGAGTCACCTCAGGAGCGACGCTGTGCAGTACTGAGGTATCTGTTGGGTGTCGTATAAATCAAATAAGTGATAACTGTCGAATGAAACCTTGTGAAGCATAGACTGTCCTCCACTCACATTACTTCTGTGTTCTCTAAGTTCATTTTCAATCCATGTTCTCGAAAATATCCAACAGCTCTCCACTGGTGTTCTCTATAAACTCTTTCCTGTTCTCTGTAGCGACTGTCAGCCAAGTCATCTACATACAATATTGTCATCATCTTAGTCTGTCTGTCACCTTACTCTTGATTAATTTGATTACCATTATAAATAGGAGTGAATGTCTTGCAACCTCACCTCTACCCCCCCTCCCCATCCTCCCTCACTTACCTCTACCTCTACCTCCCAACCTCACCTCTACCCCCCCTCCCCAACCTGCCTCACTTACCTCTACCTCTACCTCCCAACCTCACCTCTACCCCCCCTCCCCAACCTGCCTCACTTACCTCTACCTCTACCTCCCAACCTCACCTCTACCCCCCCCCTCCCCATCCTCCCTCACTTACCCAGACTTAATCAATTTAGGTTAGGGTAGGTCAGAGGTCGGTTAGGGCAGGTTAGAGGTAGGTCAGGGATAGTTAGGGTAGGTCAGAGGTAAGATAGGGTAGATGAGAGGTAGGTTAGTAAGTCAGTAAGTCAGAAAATGAGTGAGTCGGTGAATCAGTGAGTCAGTGAGTCAGTAAGTCAATGAGTCAGTGAGGAAAAGACGAAGATGAATTACTTACCATGGTGGTGATCTGTAGCTAACGTTGGCGGGCGACTAGTTGTCATGTTTGCAAGTCAGATGTTCACTTAATGTCGTCTCCCAGTGTGACGAGTGGCCCGGTGTTAGTAGCAGGCGGAGTAATGTCTTTAGCCAGTAGCTGAGACACGTGTTCTGGTAGTGTAGATGGTGTTGGTAACTCATTCATTTGTGTGTAGGTGTTGGTGATAGTGGTGGTGGGTATTGGTGGTAGTGGGTGGTGTTGGTGGTGGGGGTAAAACGTGGGTGGCAGTGATGATGGTAGTGGTAGCAGTGGTGGTGGTGGTAGTGGTGGTGGGAGTAGTGATGATAATTATAACAGGTGCTGGAGAAGATAATTACAGCAGTAAGTCATAGTGAGGATAATTATAGACAGTGTTAAGAATAAGGTCAGTCCCCCAACTAATTTCTTACACCCAGTATAATGAACTTAGTTAAATGGATCAACCTTAATACCTAATCTAATCTAACTTAACCTAACCTAACCTAACCTGACCTGACCTGACCTGACCTGACCTGACTCCCAAAAGACAGGTACAATTGTGTTAGGTATTTTTACATGCGTCCTTGGAGACCAAATGAAATTGTCTACTTTCAAGAGAGAGAGAGAGAGAGAGAGAGAGAGAGAGAGAGCCATCATTTGTTGGTTCAGTGAGGGCTGTTTGTTTACTTCTGCAGGTCTTAAGTTTGAGCAGGTGTTAATAAGCCAGATGGTATTAGTATAGGTTAAGAACACACGTCTTACTGTTGTAGGTGATCTAGCCTCTGTCCTCCGGCCTTGACCTCTACCCAGGCCTGACCTCCACCACCTAAGCCTTAAGCACTTACTTAAACAATTGCTTAAGCACTAACTTATACAATAACCTGATCTAACCTAACCTAACACCAACCTAACCTAAGAAAACTAACCTAACCTTGACCTACATCTTACTATACCTAACAAAACCTAACCCTGACCCACATATTGCAATACCTAACCTAACCTAAACTAACCTAGACACACATTTAACAAAACCAAAACAAACTATGTAAGAAAAAACAAACCATATCGTTAAACTTGACACACAGGGAAAACACAACATCATAACTATTAAACCAGACTCTGCGATATTTCCCGAGGGTGTAGTGAGGGACCTTACCACCCTGGCCGGCCCGCTTGGTCCCACA